GGCGCTGAAGTCAATCTCTTTTTCAGCTCTTCAAAACTCTCTTCACAAGCAGCATCCCACACAAACACTTGAACTTTCCTCGTCAACTGAGTCAATGGCAACGCCAATCTGGAAAAACCTTCAATAAATCTTCGGTAGTAACCAGCCAAACCCAAAAAGTTTCTAACCTCTGTCACCGTCTTCGGTGGTTCCCACTGTAACACCGCACTCACCTTAGATGGATCTACCAAAACACCATCACCAGAAATAACATGCCCCGAGAAGCTCACCGTCTTCAACCAGAACTCACACTTCGATAACTTAGCAAATAACTTGTTATCCTTCAACACTTGCAAAGCAATCCTCAGATGTTCTGCATGCTCTTCCTCTGACTTGGAATATATCAGTATATCATCAATGAACACGACAATAAACTGATCCAAATAAGAATGGAAGATACGGTTCATATACTCCATGAACACGTCCGGCGCATTAGACCCTCCGAAAGGCATTACTGCATACTCGTAATGTCCATATCGAGTCCTAAACGCCATTTTCTGAATATCACCTTCCTTCACTCTGATCTGATGATAACTCGACCTCAAGTCAATCTTATTGAACACACGAGCTCCCACCAACTGATCCATCAAATCATCAATCCTTGGAAGAGGATATTTGTTCTTGATGTTCACTTTATTCAACTGTCGGTAATCGATGCACAAAGGCATACTACCGTCCTTCTTCTTGACCAATAACATTGGAGCTCCCCACGGCGACACACTTGGCCTGATGAACTTTCTATCCAACAACTCTCCAATCTGAGATTTCAACTCGGCCAATTCCATTGCCGACATCCTATACGGCGCCATAGAAATAGGCCTCGTACCAGGGATAAGATCAATGCTGAACTCAACTTCTCTCTTCGGAGGCAACTCTAAAATATCATTCGGGAACACCTCCGGAAATTCATTCACCACAGCCAACTCATCCAACAACGCCTTGCTGTCAACCGACAACGATGCAAATAAAGCAAACACCTTAGCTTCATCTTCCAACAAAGTTCTCAATTCCTTACTAGACAAGGAATCTGCCAAAGCTTCCTCTTCTGGAGTCAAAAACAATAACACCTTCCGAAAACAATCGATGTATACTCGATTGAACTTCAACCAGTTCATACCCAGTATAACATCCAAACCACCATGTGGCAAACAAATCAAATCCACACTGAAGTCTCGGCCAAAAATAGTCATTGGACACTTCAAACACACCAAAGAAGTAGTCACTGAACCAATAGAGGGAGTCTCAATAGTCATCCGCCGCTCAAGAGTAGTCGGCACCAAACTTAACCTCTTCACACAATCAACAGAGATAAACGAGTGGGTCGCACCCGTGTCAATCATAGCAGATGAGGGAACATTATTGATGAAACAAGTACCTTGGATAGAACGATCCTCACTAGCAGCTTGGGTTCCCACCACTGCAAACACCTTGCCACTGGTCTGAGGCACCTGAGACGACTTCGGCTTCCCACAATGAGTACTGATGTGGCCCTTCTCACCACAGTTGTAACAGGTAGGCATCACGACCCGACAATCAGCCATCACGTGGTCTGGCTTACCACACTTGAAACATTTTTTCACCTCCTGAGGACACGCAATGGCACGATGACCCGTGTCACCGCACCGAAAACACTTTCCACCGGCAAACGATCTTCCTTCTCTAGGATTCTTATCATCAGCACCCTTGAACTTTCCTTTATTAGTCGGAACACTGTAAGGAGTACCACCAAACCTTTGCTTACCCTTACGGTCATTATCAGCTTTGTAATGCGCAATCCTCGCCCTGTTGTCATTGTCATAAATCCTGCTTCTACTTATCAGCTCAGGATAATCCCTGATCTTCTGACAAGCTATTCCCATCTTCACTTCCGGACGTAGCCCATTCTCAAACTTCAAACATTTAGAGGCCATCGCTCCATCAGTATTGTAATGGGGACAATACTACACTAGTTCCTCAAACTTAGCGGCATACTCCGCCACGGTCATACTGCCCTGCTTCAACTCCAAGAATTCTATCTCTTTAGCACTTCGGATATCCTCCGGAAAATACTTCTCCAGAAAACCAGTGTGGACAACATCCCAAGTAATTGGAGTTCCAGCAGTCTCCAATCTTTGGCGACTATTGTCCCACCAAGCCTCCGCTTCACCCTCTAGCATGTGAGTACCGAACCTCACCTTCTGCTCATCACTGCAACCCATCATTCTGAAGATCTTCTCAATCACCTTCAGCCACTTTTGCGCCGCTTCAGGATCCAAAATCCCTCCTTGAAACGTTGGCGGCTTGTTACTTTGAAACTGCGCCAAGTCTCTGAACTGCGCACCCGTAGCGTGGTTCTGATTAGCAACCACCTGCTCCATCGCTTGCATAGCCGCAGCCAGCGCCGCATCATTCCTCCCAGCCATACTGCTCAACAACAACAATCCAGGTTAACAGAAAACAACCAGCTATATCCTACTAACAGACTCAAAACACTACACTGGCCGGACGGACCGACCTGCTCTAATACCAACTTGTAACACCCCATTCCCAAAAAACACAAATAATTGCATTAAAATAAATGAATATAATTATATAATATTAATATTATGTTCCTCATTTCCTCAACAATTTCTACACAAAACACGCCGAAAACGAAATAACACTGGAAACTAAAAATAATTAAAATGGGCTTTACAGTTATCATCTAAAAGTTTCAACAATTGTTGCATTTTAGCTCTATCCTCTTTTATCGCCTTGTTGTTTTAGGTAAGAACATTGTATACTTGCTTGATATTTGAGATATTTCCAGGATTTTTACGTTTCAAAATTTTAAGTATGTTTTTGGGTTGCACCATGTTCAATGTCATGTCAAAAATAATTTTCATTTCTTCACGCATAAGACAACATACAATGGAATAACTGGCTAACTTGTGACACATGTCATGATTATGTATACCATAAATCACATCAAATCTCCATTTATTATTTGTCAAAATATATTCATATAACATAAAAGAACACTTACATTTTCTCGAACCGATATCATCTTGTTTCAACTTTATATGTTATGTACCTGTCACTTTATTTGCATCTCACCATCACAAATGCAAGTCTTTTACCACCTTTTTGTTTTGGGTACGAACACTTTATGCTTGCTTAATATTTGTGATATTTTCGAATCTTTTACGTTTCAAAGTTACAAGTATGTTTTTGGATTGCACAATGTTCAATATCATGTCAGAAACGATTTACATCCCTTCAAGCATAAGACAAAATGCAACGGGGTGATCGACTAACATGTGACACATGTCATGATTATGTGTACCATAAATCACATTAAATATCCATTTATTATTCACACAAAAAATATACACACGACTTAAAAGGACACTCACAATTCTTCAAACCAGTATCATCTCATTTCAACTTCCGGAGAGGAGTTGTGTACTTGCCACTTCTTTCGCATCTCAGTGTCACAATTGCAAGTCTTCTATATGAACCATTATGTGACCTTTCGATTACAATGCCAAATTCCAATTTGACAACCTTCGTGCGGATCCAATGGAGCATATGATCTCGAACAACAAACTCTTGTTCATTTGTAAATTAGTTGTCAACATCTACCTTGACGTCAACAACAGGTTTTGCATTCGTACACATAATAGGTTTGGGAACAACAACATGGTGCACCATATCTAAGCAAATAATAAGAGAAAATATTCAAAAAAAAATGTCTCAATTGAACTTTAAACTAATCCATAAATACACTTTTGTACGACCTTCAGCTAGAATTCAAAAATGTATTTCTGGACGCAACGTTCGTTTTTTTAACTCAAAATCAGATCAATGGAAGTAATGAGGGAAATACATGTACATTACCTTAAATTACAGTTTCTTTTACTCCTTTTGATGTGAAAAAACAAAGAAATGTTGTTTTGAAATAGAAAATTTGATTGAATGTGAAAGGAGATTTTGATAGGGTTTAAACAAAAATGGTAGTGAGACAAACGTGCAACAAATTCACGCTTCACAAATCCGGAAGTGCTCTTCTAAATTTATCACTAAGTTGTTAAATAAGCAAAATTCTTGACAGAGTGTGTTTAGATATACATTTCAGACTAAATTTTAGAAAAATAAGAAAAGTGTCTCACTTAGGGCGCTTTTGGTGTGAAATAGGTGCTTTCGAAAATGCATTCCTAATTCATAATAATATTTTTGAATTCTATAGTGTTTCTCCACTACTTAAAAAAGAGAGAAACAATTCTCAGGTCTTGTCAATTCCATTAGAAAGAAGAAAAAAAAGTGCATAGCAATTACCAATGGAAACTCTCAGGTTATCCATGCTTTAGTGTCAAGCAAATAAGCACATTTATGATTATATATAATTTTTTTTTAATTATTACCGATCTCACTGTGTCAGTGTCAGAATCATATTTAAGGTATCCGTACGATAGGTGTGTCAGTGTCAGAATCATATTTAAGGTATCCGTACGATAGGTGTCGAGCAATATCAGGTTATATACATCATTTTTCTTAATTTCCATAGTATTAATCTCTATTGAATATGGTTACTTTCGTCCTTAAATATAAAACTCATGAGTTTTCTCTTTCTTCTTTTTAATAAGATTCTCTTCAAAATTTAAAATGCATATTCTTATACTAATATTAAAGCATGCTCTCTCCTAACAAATTTAATACACGAACCAATTTTCTAAATTTTCTTAATTATCGTAATTTTCTATAAAGGTTCTTGTATTTAAGGACAAATGCAGTATGTAATTCCCCCGACACCTATGTTTCTCACCTTCTCACATTTATGGTAGATGGTGATCTTGATCTAAAATGTTGCAACAATAATGATATTTAAGCTCAACAACCTAACATCATAACTAAAATGAAACGGGAGTACATTAAATTCAACTAAAGCGTAAGCCATAGTATTTACAACATGATTTTCCTATCCTATATTGGAATGGAAGATTTCATTCTTCTGGCATTACATTCATTGCAAGGCCTTTTATTACATGCCGGCATTGAAACCTGCAATGTAGAAGGTGTAAGTCATTTCAAGGTCAACAATGCTGTCGGTCATACAGTGAAGTAAAAAAGACTAGAGACCATGTAATAGATGAAAATATAAATGGTAATTATGAAAAAGAATGCTGTTTGCAGTAACATGTTTTTTGCAAATTTTCACTTCAATACATCGAATAGTTATAACCAAGCAATTTGGTAACCAACATACAAAAGGCTATTCATCTCAATAAATATTCATATCATAATAAAGTTACCAGATCAAATCTTCTGAAGTAGAAGTAGTCACTTCTTGATCCTGGTTTCGGCACTTAAACAGCAGTCTGAGAGGCACAATCTGTTGCAAAAACGCAGATTAGCTGCTGGGAATACATGCGACAATCCCCTCCAAAAAAGTTACATAGAAACAGCATAAGAGCATATTACTAGGTATTGGGAATCTCAATCTAATAAAATTAAATTATTTTATATTTCCTCATTTGGACCAAACTTGATTTCACTTTCAAGTTTCAACGGGCTCATTCTCTTGTAGAGGCTTATATAATTGGTTCCATTTTTCACCATGTTAACTAGGTTTTGGATATGCCAAACACCCCCCTAAGAAATACTGAAAGATTGTTTATGTTATTGTCTTAAATAAACTTCCTAAAACTTACTCAGAGGGCCAGATAAAAAAAATGTGTTTCAGTTCCAAAGGACAACAAGTTGATTGGAACAGCGAAACCATCAATGAAAACCACAGTTTATAAAAAATTGTAGGTAGCCAGGTTTTCCCAAAGAATGATCGTATTATTGATAAATTGCAAATTACCACAAGTTTCATCAAGTTCATGACAGATTATATATATACAAAATCAATTTCTTATATAAACAAAAAAAAGAATGACTGCAATATCTAAATTGATAAAGTGATGTACCAAAAAAACAACAAACGTATATACCACTAATCATCTTCTTTACCAAATAAAGAAATCATCAGCATCACTCACTATAAAGGCAACAACAACAAATACAGCATATGATGCTCGGTGCAAACAGGAATCATCATATACTTCCAACTTAAAAAAGGACAATCACATATTAAATATGTCCTAAATATCTAGTTTACCTTTCTGTTGTACTTAAAATCGCGTTTGGGCAGAAAATGCTGGGGTTGGTTGAAAGAAGAAGGAGCTTTAATCAATACAAACAATTTGTTTGGACCTATACATAAGCAGGTAAAATATAACCTTTGGGTCAATATGGAATAAAGAAAAACAAATAAATGAGATAACAGGAAGAAAATTATTTAAAGTAATAGTAAACATTCAAATTGGTATTTCAAAGATACACACAAGACATCAGGACAGTCCAAAAAGGATTTCGGACATCAATTTGACCCCGCGATGTTTGAACCAATATCAATTCAGACACTCATCATGTATACAAACGTCAATTTGGTCCTGAAATTGATGCTTATTTACACTACAAAAAAGAAACTAATGTCCAAAAATCTTCAAAGGACCAACTCAATCAATGTCTTGTGTATGGTTGAAGGACCAATTGGAGTATTCATATTTCAAAATGAATGTTTATCAACCAGTAAAGTCAATAACTACCAGGATAAGTAACAGACCCAGCATCCTTTGATATCAATGTCCGAATTGCCTATTAAAGAATCACAAAAACATAACCTCAGCAAAGCATATTGCATTTCAATCCAAAAATCCTAAACACAAAAAGAAAGAAACCGGCTAATTAAAGAACCTTTCTGCAAAGAGCCTCTGCAGCTTTGCTCCTAGCAAAATCATCCCCAGCATTGGAAACATCAAGTCGACGTGGAAATTCCAACACATAAACATTCTGAGGCCTAAGGGAGCTACCTCCAAGAGCCAAAATAACCCCATCTATGGCATGACACTCATTGATAATCATTTTAAGCGCAATTTGTAAATTCGAAAGAGAACTCATCAACTTATCCAATCTCTTTATTCCTACTTTGATTTCCCTCATTCTACTCGCATGCTTTCTCCTAAACGATGCCTTCACTTCATTTACCATATCCATCTCCTAACATCAACAAATTCAGATCCCAAGCAAATTATAAACATAATCAGATCATAAATAAGTTCCATTGAAACAATTTCCGACACACATTTAGTATAAATTTTGCTAAATTGCGGCTATAGAAGCGCTATGTAAATGTTTCGTATCGTAATTTGAACAAACATAGTTTCTCCGATCGATCGACGGTTAACAACGTCGATAAAAATAATGAAATATATGAATTACCAGTTGTTTATACTCGGAGTGCATTGAATCGAATTCAACGCTCATATCCTGAACAGTGCTGCATAAAGAAAATGCACCGAATGATGAAAATTGAAAACAAAACGAAGAGCAAAAAATGAAATCGAAAAGAAGAGTAGTTAGAAATTACGAGGGAATTTGCTGGTGCATGTAAAGAACGAACCCTACGACGTCGTTGATTGTGTGAAATATTGCGGAGGAATCCATGGTGTCTGATGCGGTGTATATCTCGGCGGGATCCATCTCCGGCAACGAGGTTCCCATCGTGGACTCTGCTCATTGCCCGTTGGTCAATTCAAATGTCAAATTGGAAGAAAAGACCCGCCAATTAATGGGCTCGGCTACTATGAGAGTTTTTTTATTGGCACCCTAAAGAGTAACTGACACCCCTATGTGTTATGAAAATACCATGTTATCCTTAAATGTAAAATATATTAGATGTGTGATTCATTTTTCTGCATTTGGTTATTCATAGTTTAATATGTGATTATTAATAGTTCAGTGATTACAGATAATTATGTATGTAATTATTGATAGTTATGCATCTAGTTACTAATAGTTCAGTACGTGTTTACGGATAATTCAACATATGATTACTAATAGTACCGTATGTGGGTATTGATAGTTCAGCATATGATTAACACTAGTTATGGATGTGGTTAATGCTAACTTTGTATGTGGATACTTACTAGAAGTTAGTTAGTTAGCGGTATGATTCTATATAAAGGATGTAACACATGTTTGTAAAAACAATCTATCAATTTACTTTCAATAATACTTATCTCCCTCAATTGCTCTTTATTCTTCTCTATTTTCCTCAATTTACAAATAAATTATAATTCAAGTTATCCAACAATTTGGTATCTAGAGTCCTGGTTTGATCTTCAATCTCCATTCATGGAAAATGGGACTATAGCCTTCGATCAGTTCTCAGTCAATCTACCAGTTCTCAGCCAATTCATTAACCCGAGTCTAACTATTTTGATATTTCATTTGAACTTAACCTGTGACACCTTACCTCGACTGCTTGATTTACATATCCGCATATTTTATTCATTTTGTATCATTTAAGAATTTACCTTATTTTCTTTTACTAAACTGCACACGTCCAAGGGAAGAACTTGCGCATGACTTCATAAATTGTGCGTATTGCATCTCGTTTGCATCATATTCCCTCGCTTGATCCTTGAGTTTTCAAGTTGATCAGCTTAAGCTTTAGTCCCTAGACCTTAAGATAGGACCGGTTTTCTCTTGAATCTTTCAACTTAGACGAACCTTATATACAATTCAATCTTATTCTCCCCACAAGAGAATTAGACGTAAGTCATCTTGACGGTCGAAATATAATTCTCCTGCCCCATAATGATATCGAGAGATGTAGAATCTTTTCCGCTTGAGAGAGGTATGTGGCATACTCGTCGATAAATCCGAGTTTTAAGCCCTTCTCTCAATGTGACACAAACACCATCTCCTACAAGTTGTGGTGGTTAAGTCGAGTATTCTCCCTTAAGATGACGACTCGTCTTTTTCTCCTAGAATCAATCAACGAACCTTTTCCCCTCTAGAACTTAGACCACAGTTAATGGTTCCTCAATCCCTTTTAGGGGAACTACGAATACTCTAATTCCACTCCCGTCAAGATACGTAGATACAAGATGCGATTTCTTGATGAGTATACTTAGAAATGAACCCCTAGGATTTTCACCCTTAGTAACAATAACACTATTAAAACAAGAGGTTCTTGTAGAGTACTACAGATTCTTATGATGCTAACACCTTTCCTAAGTTTAACTAACCCTCGAACCTTAGATTCTCTAGCTTTGTATTTGCATTGCATTTTGTGGGTAATTCGATCTTTTTCCCTTCCTTTGGACAAATTAAAGACCGGTGGTGAATAATGAATTAAGATTCAAGTTAACCAATAATTTGATATCCGATTCTCACTGCGACAGAAATGGCGACTTCACTACGGAACTCACAAATACATGAGGGTTCCCCTAACTTGTTTTATTGTGCTTGTTTATTGTTGTATATTTTATTATTTGTATATATGCTTATGTTTTTTGGGTTGATATCCTTGTGTGGTGAGGAATGTCCTATACCCGGACTTGAGTGTACTTATGATAGGAAGGTGATATATATGAGAAGGCTTATAGGGAGTGATTCCCGACCAAGCTAACTTGAGAATCACCGCTCAGTTGAGGCCCTCTTGAAAACAACATTGTTGAACGAGTATTTGTGAAAATACTTACTATTTTCGACCTAGGAGCCTGTGATACTGGAGACTTTTAGTTACCTTTAACCCCACTTGGCCTTTCTTAGGACGTAGTGCGATGACTATGAGGGAGTATTCCCAAAGTAGTTGTTACGCGATGCTACACTCAAAAGTGGTTCTCTTAAGAATATTGTTAACCACTGAGTATTCGGGAAATTGATAATATCCGAAAGATGGACTAATGATTTTGGGCATCTCTTAGAACTCTTGTTCTGAGGTACTTTCAACCCTTAGCCCACACCCTTTGGGGAATGGGTATACCCTTTGATCCATGCTTACAAGCCTTAGGTTTTCCTGTGTGTTTATCTTCGTGTATCTATGTGCTTGCCTATGTTTGTGCATCTTCGCATCCATAAAGCATCATATTAAATTGGCTTCATGGAATTCCGAGTTTATTTATAAATATTACAGGACCACCATGGGTTACAAAAGAAAATATTTTAAAATATTTGTTGCGGTGGAAATAGGATATCAAACTATTAATTAGTTTGAATCGCAATTCAATTCACAACCGCTCTTTGATTTATCCGAAGGAAAAGGTCAAAAAGGGAAAACCTATTTTTGCATCGTAAACACAATGCGGGGAAAGATCTAGGGTTCGGGGGTTGGTTAAATTTAGGGAAGGTATTAGCACCCTAAACTTCTGTAGTACTCTACAGGAACCTTTTGTTCAAATGTTTACTATTTGCTTTATTTATTTGCTTAAGGTATATGTACAAAGGATTAAAAGTGAGAAAAGAGACCTAAGGGGTTAATTCTAAGTTTACTCGGCAAGACATCGCATCTTGTGCCTACGTATCCTTACGGGAATGGAATCAGAGTAATCGTAGTTCCCCTCAATAGGGAGGTTAGAGACTTCTTGACTGTGGTCAAGGTCTCAAGGGGAATAAACGCATCTTAAGGACACGCTTACGTGGAGTGTAGAAACTCCAATATCTACGTTGAAATTGTTTATTGTAATTAGGGTTAAATTAGGTTAAATTAGGGATTCCGCAGCGGGAAACTCTAAAATGAGCGCGGCGGCTCCTTGACCTAATGCTAAGGGCCAAAATTATAATCTTGCCTGCGGCGAGGCGTTTGGGAGAATTAGGGTTTGCAAGGTGAAAGGGTTTGAAGTTGAGGACTATCGGCGCGGCGGCCAAAAGCTAGACCTAACCTTCGGATGTGAGTAGTGTGATTGGAATATTCGATGAGTGTGTGAGATAATTGAATTATGCAGACTTTTAAATGCGGAAACGTAAATGCGATTGTTAAGATTCGCAAGGTTACAGAGGAGAAACAGTTACAACAGTATGATACAATTCAATTTTAAGAACGCGAATATAAAGAAACAAACATGGTAAGCTGCACAGTGAACGAACTAGGTTAGTAAACACAATTATGAAAACAGAAGCATGAGGCTATGAGACGTTTTTTTTTGTGGTTTCTTATTTTATGAGAAGCTTAATATGAGTCTAAGCTTAATTTTTTTCTTACTTGATAATGAATAAATAGAAAAAGAAGATCTTAATCTTTTTTTTTTAAAAAAATATTTTCTCTTGGTTTTAATATTTTAAAAAATGTTTTAACTTTAATATTTTAACAAAAAATGTTTTTTTAATTTTAATACTTAAAAAAAAATGTTTTTAATTTTTAATAAAAAAAGAATTTAATTTTACTATTAAAAAAAAAACAACCTAAATATATTTTTTTTTAAAATTTGATAATTAACTTAAAAAAAGAAAAAGAAAATAAAAACATAAAAGGGTTGGGCCGGTCATTACCTCCGGACCCAACCCGGTTTGAGATGATTGATTGCAAGACGTTTAGGGTTTCAGAACCCGTTGGTCTTTCGCGGCGCCGTTTACACTTCATTCTTCTTCTCTCTCGCCGCGATTCTCCCTGATCTTCCTTATTCCTGAAACCAGACATGAAATCTGTGATGAAAAACATCCCATGGCTTACATTTAAAGCGAAAACGGCCGATGATGAAGAGATTCTGAGGCTGAGGCGATTGATTGCTCGTCGTTTGGTTAAACGGCGCCGGCGGTCCTTCGTGTGATGACTTTGGTGGAAAACTTCTTCTTCTTCTTCTGATGTCGCGGTCGTTAGGGTTTCTCGTTCGGTGATTTTTCTTGGCCCTCCAGTTAGGGTTCGTACGCGATTCCTCCCTTTTTTTGTATCAGGTTGTATCTCTCTCTTTATATACGCTTTACTTTTTGGGCTTTCAATCTGTATTGGATTTGTATTGCTCTGAGATTTGATTTCGTGTTGATGCGATTTGATTTTGATTTTCCAGATTGAGTTCTAATGCGATGCTTTCTGAGACGATTGGGATCTCAATTCATTTTTCTGGTATGAACTTGATACTAGTTCGTTGATTGATCCAAAATACATTCCACTGGGATATGATTTGGTTCTTGCTGATACATGATTGGATCCTATTTCTCCTTTTAGGATTTGATTGGGATTTCTCTTGATATGATTCTGAACTCGTTTTGATTCACTTGATACGATTTAATTCCATCCCTGATTCGATGTCAAATTTGTTTTCTGTCTTTCTCTGATACAGTTTGCCCTACTCCTTCATACCTTCCTTTTCCAGAATTCCTAGATTGATTCGATTTTGTTGGATTTTTGCAGATGGATTGGATTGCCTTTGGATTTCTGTTGACCTGTTGGATATCTGAATTAATTCGAACTGATTTGCTTGATTTCGAACTGATTTGTTTTTGGACTGATTTGTTTGATTGATTCAGATTGGGAATCAAAATCTTTCTATTGTTTTTCTGATATGATTTGCTTTCAGATTGGATTGATTGACATCTGATTTTGATTCACAGAATTCCTTGAAGGATTCGTTTTTCTGCTCTGTTATCGATCTCGAACTGATTCATTTTTGATTGATTCGTTTCTTTGATGCAGCTCAGATTCTTTTCCTCTTCTTCTTTCAGAGAGGGCTTGATGTTGTGTTGGTCTTAGCCGCCGAGACGGGTACGCGGTAATGATG